TAATGATTTGAATTATTCTGAAAGACTTGAATTCTTAAGTATTTATTCGTTACAAAATAGGAGACATTTAAATATACTGAAGATTGTTTTCAAATGTATGTATAATTACGATAATATGCCTCTGAATTGGAAAACAATGTATGTTTTATCTCAGAATATTAGAAATGGTTTATTAATAGTAAAACCTATTACTCGAAATCATTTTTGTGATAAAAACTTATTTTTATATTCAATTAATTTGTTTAATGATTTACCGTTAGAAATAAGAAACGAAATAAATTTTAATAAATTTTTAAACAAATGTAAAAATTTTTATCTCATAAATATGTAATCTTAATCTTTATAATGACAACTATTGTATTTATTTTATTGTACTTTTTATCACTTTTTGCTGTATTTACATTATTCAACGCGTTATGAATAAAACATTATTATTATTATTATACTAAATTAATTGTAAAAGTTATGACTTAAATAATTCATAAATTTACTATGTGATTAAGTTATAGTGTTCAATATACCGCACGATTGTTGGTAGACTGCACGGGTTGATCTGCAGTTTTTCCCTCAATACACCGTTTATTGGGGACTGCAATGACATACACTATAACCTCAGTACACATGCCGTTTTATAATTAAAACTTTGAAATGTACAATAGTGTTTTTAATACAGTTGGAGACAGTTAAGACTTGTAACAAAATGTAAAGAAAATAAAAGGATAAAGTTCAGTGTTAATAAGTAAAATGCCGAAAAGGACCATGACCATTCGTGTGATAGGATGCACTTGGGAACTGTTGTTATAAAATGAAAGGACATTCAATAAGTAGTCGAGTGATATATTTCATATGTCCAGATGCTTTCGAGTCCGGCCGTAGTGACCACTTTTATCAGAAAAATTTTCAAATCAAATCTTTGATTTTATAAATAAGTATTATATTATATATCAATAGAAAGGTGTGGATAAGTAGAATCGAAATCCGAAGCAATTTTTTAAATCTGACATAATTGATAAAGGTTATATCAAAATTAAAAAATTTTGTAACAGTTATGTAAGTATTTTATAATGAATAACGTTATTACTGTTTATTATTTATATCAATTTCAATTATGCTTCCAACGATAATTAATTTCGTAAATTAAACATTAAAATTTTTTAATATAAAAGGAGTTTGCCCAAAAATAATGGAGATAATGCAAAACATATGCATTAAAAATTTTAACCAATTTTTATTTCAGTAATTTAATCATTCATGTAATTGCAATCAATATTGACGTGAGTGGAGTAAAATAATTACGCTACTCATCATAAAAAACTTATACAATTGTCAAGAATTTTTTATTTATTAGATAAGATTTTTTAATTAAGTCCGAATTTTATAATTCCTTCAGAATATTATTCTTCTTATACGTACCTTTCTATTGATATATAATATGATATACTTATTTATAAAATAAAAGATTTCATTCTCAAAATTTTACCGATAAAAGTGGTCATTACGGCCAGACTCGAAAGCATCTTGACATATAAAAATGGAAATATATCACTCGACTACATATTGAATGTCCTTTAATTTTATAACAACAATTCCCAAGTGCATTTTATCACACGAATGGTCATAGTCCTTTTCGGCATTTCACCCATTAACACTGAACTTTATCTTTTTATTTTCTTTACATTTTGTTACTAGTTAATTGACATAGGTTTACATATTTTTTGTGAACATGTAAAGTTTCAAAATTAATATTTTGCCGTACACATGACTCCAATATCACATACAGTAACGTTAGGGGTTATTTGCCACTATTGAGGGAAAAACTGCAGATCAACCCGTGCAGTCTACCAACAATCGTGCGGTATATGACTGGTCAATTATTTAATTAAATTAAATAGTTTAATGCAGTACAAAATATAAAGTATAAGTAAATTGTTTTAAATAATTTTTATGTAATTATGATAAATATATTTAAGGATGACCTAAAAAGCATATTTTTGAATTTTTATTGCATTTTTTTGCATTTATTTGCATTTTTTAAAAATGAGCTGTTCAGGTCATCCCATATATTTATTTTAAAATTTTTTAGTTTAAAATAATTAAAAATAATTCGTCTAGTTCTTTCCATCCAACAAAATTACAAGTATTTATCCAGTCTATTAAAATATACTGATTTTGATACATTTACAGTTTAATTGTAAACTTCAAAAATATTTTAATCTCTCTCTCTCTTTCTTTCTCTCTCTCTCTCTCTCTCTCTCTCTCTTAAAACATACATTGTTTTCCAATTCAGAGGCATATTATCGTAATTATACATACATTTGAAGACAATCTTCAGTATATTTAAATGTCTCCTATTTTGTAACGAATAAATACTTAAGAATTCAAGTCTTTCAGAATAATTCAAATCATTATTATAATTCTTAAAACAGATATATTTTGTAATTTTGCGTTGAATTCGCTCTAATTTGTCATTTTGTGTAGCATTCAGAACAAAAGAAGTGTTACAGTACTCTAATAGCGGCAGAATGTATGTGTTGTATAATCTCAGTAATGTATTACTGTCCGCATAACAGCACAACTTCTTCAGAAATGCCCACTTTCTGAGTGATTTATTCATAATATAGTCAGTATGTTCACTGAATTTCAGTTTATCATCTATTATTACTCCCAAATGCTTATGAGATCTTGCAGATAGATAGCCGACTGGTAGTTAACTTATGAGTAAGTCTCGTAGTGTTGAAGATTTGCTATGAGAGTATACATGACTAAAACTGCCTAAGTCACTGTCTGGAAAGCAAAATTTTATTAATATAACTGAATTGAGATCTGTCTGCATATTCATCACATCATCGTTACTATAAATGCAATTGAAAATACAGGTGTCATCTGCGAACTGCACTACTTTACTGAATCTAACGTGTTCAGGCAGATCTCTGACAGTCAGACTAAATAGCAGTGGGCTGCCCGTCCCGCCCTGGGGGGACCCAGATGTTATAAGAAGTGATAGTCTATTTCATAAAGACATAAATTGTGTAACAAAAGACAATATGTTTATCGCAAGTTAATAGAATTCTGTCAGAGGAGAGTCCGGATGCGATATCTCACTGAGATTCTAACTCGACTAGTACAGACAGTCAAATGCATTACTCAGATCAATAAATATCAGATCAACACATATTAAGTTTTTATCATTAAATGCATTCGTTACAGAATATAATATATCAGTGATTGTGACTCTAAGATTGAGCTGAAGTACAGACAGTCAAATGCATTACTCAGATCAATAAATATCAGATCAACACATATTAAGTTTTTATCATTAAATGCATTCGTTACAGAATATAATATATCAGTGATCTGATTAGCAGTACTAATTCCTGGGGTAAACCCGTATTGGTTTCGTGGTATTATACTATTTCTGTAAACGTGAGCTGAAATGTTGTTGAAAATTAATTTAGTAAAAAGTTTCAGAATATTTTTCTCTATCGTAACACAACGATATGAGTTTATGTGTTGTTTCGGTTTCCCGGCTTTATGAACCGGAATTATAGTTACAGACTTAAGGCTATCCGGAATTGTATTGAGTTTTATCATCTGATTATATAATGTAAACAATATTTTGCTAAAAATTTCCGGACATTTCTTAATAAGAATTGTCGGAATTTCAGAATTCACTGAACATTTATTCACATCCAAACCGAGTATCTCTCGCAAGACATCGGTCTGGCTTATGGTATAATTTGTCAGTAATTCGTAGTTCAGCTCATCATCACATTGATATATCGGATACGTAATTGAGTTGTAGTTCTGTTTAAAATATTGTGAAAAGGCATTACATATATCAGAATCGCTTTCATATGTGTTGTTTTGATTAACGAAAATATTGCCAACAGAAATATCAGAATTATGTTTAATATGATTATATAAACTTTTCAGATTATCTGATTTATCAATCAATTTATTATACTTTTCTGAATGAAAACAATGCAGAAACTTATCAATTTTTTCATAAAGGTATTCTACACAGAATTTATAATGTCTGTCATTTGTTTCATTAAACAGTTTCTGATATTTACGCTTCCTTTTAATCAGTAATTTAATGTTTTCGGGAATGTTTTGCCTATTCGTACGAATTGTTTTAGTTTTAAAGCATTTGTTTTTAATTTCAGACACTTTTTCAATAATCATATTATAACGCGTATTCAAGTCATTACTATTTGTTAACATCAGTTCCCAATCAATAAGACTTAAATTACTTCTGAAAATATTCATATCGTTCTCATTATTATAGTCATAAATAATTTTACATTCAGTTTTTGTTTTGCTCTTATTTGTATTGATCTGAAATTCAATCATAAGGTGATCACAATTTCTGTGAAAATTATTCACAACTGAGAAACTATTCAACATTTTAGAGTCGTTTACAATCAACAAGTCTAATAATGAATTATTCTGAGAGTATTTGCTATCTGATGGGTATGTGTAATGTTTTACCATTTGTTTTAACCCTAATTCATTACAAATATTTACGAGTTCTTTAACAAATGGTTTACTGAGGTTCAGCAAATCGAGATTAAAGTCTCCGCAAATAATCAACTTATTGTCAGAATAATTATTCTGTAAGGACTTCAAAAACTCATATAACTCTTGTAAAATCAAAGTATTAGCACTCGGAGGGATATAAACTGAACATAAAACATATTTCAGACTATTGTACATCATTTGTACCGACACTGATTCAAATAAATTAGTTTTAATATTTATATCGTAACATTTGATATCAGAAAGTATGCCTATTATTACACCCCCTCCGTGTCTGTTACGATCAGCTCTAAAAATATTATGTTTTTGAGATATCATGTTATCAGTGATACTACTGTCCAGAAATGTTTCACATCCGAAAAATATATCAATTGAAAGTGTTATTAAGAAAGCATTAAATTCGTTTAGTTTATTGCATATACTTCTGAAATTGGCTGAAATGGCTAATAAATGAGTAGCGGTTAGTTCTGAGGGAACGGCCGCTGAGTTTGAACTAAAAAACGATTCGAACTATCATTTCTGTTCATATTTTGTAACAACTGATTAGTGATTTCCCGTTGGTTTAGCATCTCATTCATTAAGTCATTATTGTTTACATATCTGTTATTTTGATTGCGCTGAACATCAAATCCATAGTTCTGATGTGGTGTGCGGTGATAGCTGTTCTGGTGATGATTTCGGTTCCGATTTTCTGACCAATTATTTCCGTTTTGATTCCTGATCGGTCTGTGACTCCTCGGGTCCCTTTGGTCCGAACGTTGCCGCTCTTCCCCAAACGCTCCGCCGCCGCCAGTGTTCCGTTTTCTGACCATATTTTGCTGACCATATGTCTGGCTATTCCCGTTCCGATTGTTGTTCCACTTATTCGGACGATAAGGTGTTCTCTTCGTCTGAACAGCACTTATGTTGTTTTGTTTACTGTATTTTAGTTCAAGGATTTCATCAAACATATGGTCAAACTTCTCCTCTGATGTCATTTCACTGAATTTCTGTTTTTCGTCCGCTTTTTTCAATTCAATAGTGGTTTCAGTCGTGTTATCAGTAGTGGTCTGAGTATTAGTGGTCTGAGTAGTGGTGTTCAGAACCGGTGCCACACTATTACCACTGTTTGAGCCATTGTTTTGAGACGAGTCTCCGGAAGGCGTGTATTTGATCTTTTTAATGAAATTGCCGATCAGTTTGTTGACCAGACCTTTCACTTCCGGAATATCAATAGTCTTACGGCTCCGACTGTCCATATTGTGGTTAAATTTCTCGTGAAAAACCAGAAAATTATCAATAAATTCACTCTTAATTAAAATTTCAGACATGTTGTCAGTCTCGCACTTGCGCACCTTAACCTAAAGCAATTCAATGTATCATCGTATATTTTATAATACATTTATATTAAATTAATCATTAATTAACTAATTAATAATATAATTATTTTTGAAAATATATAAATTAAATTTATTTAATCCAACTAAAACAGTAATCTATTAGAAATGCATTAAAAATTATAAAATAAATATAACTTATGAAGTTTACGGATAGAACTAATCTGTTAGTTTTATTAAACTAATATAATAAATATAAGAATACAATTTTAATCAATAATATTAGTTGCGCATCCAAAGTTAACATAACATTTTAAAATAAATTATTGAGTCGGCGATCGTATTAAAGTACAAATAGTGTCGGCCCCGGACTTTCAGTCCCTTACCGTCAACTCCCGGTTTGTCTATTTTAAAGTCACCACCCTGGCCCTTACTTTCCAACCTTTGGTGAACCATAAGCTTGAGTTCACCGTTCATTACCGACGAGCCTCCCTGTGTCCGATCGTTTAGCACGGTCATTTGCAAGCCTATGTAAATATTATATATTTTAATTTTATTTATAAACGCAAACTGTAAACAATTTCAAAATTTGAATAAGGTAAAATTAATAATTAAATTGCAAAATATAATATTGGTACTTTGGTGTTCCCGCATAATAATTTTGCAATACAATTATTATAATTACCATAAAAGATTTTAAGTAAACTATATTAAATGTTTAATTAAAAAATTATTTTAAATTACCTTGATTCTCGTCTCTAATGGACACGTGACTATAAATAGAGAACAAATTGGCAGTAATCACGTTATCTCTACAGCCCCTGGCGTTCGGGTTATATTTCCTGCGTATAGTCTGCCGGCCATTAGAGTCCTTATAATACACGCCATCGGTCTGGAAGTCAGAATAGAGCACCGTTGTAGATTATTGTATATTTTGTAAAAATATATTTTAGATCACAACTTAACATAATATTTAAAAATGCAATAAATTATATCATTAATACGATTCTATATAAATTAAATATTTCGCAACATAACAAACTGCACTTCACTGAATCAAACCTAGACTAATTTATGGCATCGGTGATCATCTCAAGGCCAATCGAATTAACTCCCAATGCCTTGCGCTCTACTGCATGCCACCTAAGTCTATTCATGGCACCTCTGATCATCTCAGAGATCAAGGGTATTAACTCACAGTACCTTGCGCTCCACTGCATGCCACTTAGGTCAATTGATGGCCCCCAATGAGTTACACTCCATACCATGCCATTTAGATTATCTAGGTCATTTTAATGTATACAGCAAACCTTGTGTGACCTCGGTGTTTGCTGGTATTATTTATCCCAACTTATCACTCCATTGTAGCCCATCTCAAGAATTAAAGGGTACAGTTTTAATTGAATTATTTATTTAATGTGTCCAATGGAATGTTTTCACTATATTTAACTAGATTATATTTTATTTTAAAATATTAAATTGAAATATATTATTATTAATTACAATTATTTGTTAGGATAAATGTGCGGATCTGTTGCGGTGCTGACTTTTTTAATTGCGTTATTATGCTATAGATAATAATTTTTAACTTATTCATTTAATAAATTACTACCATTGATATAAAATAACTCAATGATTTGTTTTCCCTGGCCCTTATTTTCCAACCTTCGGTGAATAATAAGCTCGAGTTCACCTTTCATTAGCGACGAGCCTCCCTGAGTCAGATCGTTTAGCACGGTCATTTGCAAACCTGGCCAAATATAATATATTTTAATTTCATTTATAAAAAACTGTAAACATTTTCAAAATTATAATAAGATAAAATTAATAATTGAATTGCCATAACTATTATTGGTACATCTGTGTTCTCAGTGTCATAAAAAATTTTAATTAAATTGTATAAAATGTTTAATTAAAAATTATTTTAAGATTATCTTGCTTCTAGTCTCTAATGGACACGTGACTATAAATAGGGAACCAATTGGCGGTAATCACGTTATCCCTACAACACCTGGCGTTCGGATTATATTTCCGACGTATATTCTGTCGTCCATTAGAGTCGGTATAATACACGCCATCGGTCTGAAAGTCGGACTCAAATCGTGTGATAATCTCTTTGCCAATCTTGTCATTCATTGGTATCGCACCGACAGTGCAGTCAAACTCAATATAGTCCTCGTCCTCATACGTGCGCACCGTTTGGTGAATAAAATCAGTGAACTGTTGGATGAGTCCACTTATAGTGTAAATAATTTGGTTTTCATTTAAGTTGTGGCGACCGTTCTCTCACAATATTAATAATTTTTATTTAAATGTAATTTTAAAAAAGTATGTGGTGCGTAATGAGCCCATTAGTGTTATTATTAAATCATAGCAAATGTAATTTTTGTTAACTTTGTGACTAACTTACAGTTTAAAATTGTTTAATACATTAATATTTTAAATTAGTTAAAGCCAAATTAAATTTAACAATAAATTATGTAATGAAAATATGTTTTGTATAAAAATTTATTTAAATGTTTTAAGATTTGTTTATTCTATAAAATATTTAAAAAAAATTAAAAATATAATTTCTGAGAAAATGTTGAAATTGATTAAAAAGTAATTTTACTCACGAGCAGAGGCCACTTTAGGCCTTTGAGATTACAATGTTTTTATGCCCTAAAGTTAAATAAAAGTACAAAATATAATGCATTCACAATTGAAATGTATAACAGACTGACGACAGCCATCATAACCGCCGCCACAGATTATGCAGTAGTCATGGATGTAGCGTGACCACCTCTAAGTTTAAAAATAGAGAACAT